AAAGCCACTAAGACACAAGGGGTTACAGGATGAGGAAGAATTAGGAACATAAACATTAATAATTAGCAGGAAGAGGAAAGAGTAATCAGGAGGACAGTAGATAGCCGAGAACATGGCATTTCAATTTTTCCATATTAAAGTTGGCTAGAAAGCATCCAGCCGGAAGGGAGTTCCATAAGCAAGGCAGCAAAGCCACCAAGATACAAGGGGTTACAGGGTGTGGAAGAATTAGGAACAGAAACATTAATAATGAGCAAGAAGAGGAAAGAGTAATCATGAGGAAAGTAGACAAAGATTGACAGTGAATTTAAATTCTTGCAGATTAAAGTTTGCTGGAAAAGCAAGAAGCCGGAAGGGAGTTCCACAAGCGAGAAGTGTGAGAAGGGAAATTGCAACGATAGAACTTACAGCTACATTATATTATATTACATGTATTATAGATTAGATTTTTTTTTTCATTTTCTCTCGTTATTTTTGGGGTGCTTAATTTAACGAAAATCTTAATAATTTAACGAACTAGGTTCGGTCTTTTTTCAAAAGCTCAATGAAATTTTATTCTATTTAATGTAGCTTAAATATTACATATTGTGAAGGTAGCATAGCAGTTACGAACCTGGCGAGAGGAATCGGTGAATGTAAATTCCAGTCTAGTCTGTGACGTTCACAGCTCCCAGTAAAACCCTTGCGGAAGACCTGTTTCCTAAAACTCTTGGGATAACTTGTATTCAATTGGTTGATTGTTTCGTAAACATGGATCTTCGTGCTAGTTAAAATACGGAGTGACAAAAGGAGGGTTTTCTCCATGACACTTTCTTTTATTTTAACTACCTTCGCTTCTCGGCAATTGTTTTAAAAAGACTTTGCCTATGTTTGCCGAAAGTTTTTCCTATTATGTAGCCTGAATCTTCCTATATGTCAGTGCGTCCTGAGCATGACGATTAACTACAAACGGCAGCAAGGATTCTGATCGAAAGGTGTTGAGGGGCGTGAGATCAACTCTTAATGATTGTTATTCCCAGGTTCACACTGATCCGGATTGCTAGCCCATCTTAAGGTCCCAGACTGGCGCCAAAACCCTATGAAAATATAAAAATAGATTTTTATAGTAAAAATAACAGCAATACATTTTTGAAAAAAAATATTATAGCAATACATTTCTGACAAAGAAAATATTACCAGAAATACATTTTTGAAAAAAAAATATCACCAGAAACACATTTTTGAAAAAAATATTACCAGAATTACATTTTTGAAAAAAAAAATATTGCAAGAAATACATTTTTGAAAAAAATATTACAAGACATTTTTGAAAAAAAAAAAAATACCAGAAATATATTTTTGAAAAAAAAAATTACCAGAAATACATTATTGAAAAAAAAATAAATAAATAACAGAAATACATTTTTGAAAAAAAAAAAATATTACCAGAAATACATTTTTGAAAAAAAATATTACCAGAAATACATTTTTGAAAAAAATATTACTAGAATTACATTTTAAAAAAAAAATATTGCAAGAAATACATTTTTGAAAAAAATATTACAAGAAATACATTTTTGTAAAAAAAAAAAAAATTACCAGAAATACATTTTTGAAAAAAAAAAATTACCAGAAATACATTTTTGAAAAAAAAAAAACTACCAGAAATACATTTTCGAAAAAAAAAAATTACCAGAAATACACTTTTGAAAAAAATATTACCAGAAATACATTTTTGAAAAAAAATATTACGAGAAATACATTTTTGAAAAAAAAACTATTGCAAGAAATGCATTTTTGAAAAAAATATTACAAGAAAGACATTTTTGAAAAAATATATTACCAGAAATATATTTTTGAAAAAAAATTATTACCAGCAATACATGTTTGAAAAAAGACAGATTAATAGATATTTTATACATACGAACCTATAATAAAATTCTTGTCGGTATAAAGTAAGCCACTGAGTTTGATATGCCGTAAAACAAAATAAACTAAAGCAAACTCTATGGCAGTGAATGCTGGACAAATTCCTAACATATAAAGAGGAGGTTTGAGGCAAGAGAGATGTGGTTCTACAGATGAATATCGTGGATGGAACATACGAACAACGAAGGAATTTTAAGGGAAATGACAACGAAAAGAACTCTTTTTGCCTCGAACTTGAAAGAAGCAGTTGACATTTCTCTGACTCCTAATGAGGAAAGGGGGCTAAGAGAATCTGACACTAACAGGGCATATTGAAAACAAAAAAAAGAGCAGAGGAAAATGGAGAATGTGTAAAATAATGGCCGAACAGGAACATGGGAGTATAATAAGGGGTCAGATATTGCTTTCGACTGTAATGGAGAGTCATGATCACCCCCCCCCCTGAAGGGACAAGCTACATAAAATAAGACAAATGAATTTCATATACCTCGATTGACTACAACAAAAATTACAGATAATGAAGGATTATGACATTTAAAAGATTCCAATGGTTTACAAGACTAGGTCGTTAACCAACACTGTAATTAAGATGTCTAGCGTCGTATAATCCCTAGGGACTCAATAGTAGCAATCTAAGCGAAAGTTAAATCCTATTAACATCGATTCTGAAGCTTCTGGGTCTCTTCAGGGTGTTGGCGATCATTGCTCTCCACAACTTTCTTTCTTTTGCAGCGCTTAACAATGTTAACCCACGTGCGCCTTGTTCATGTGACACACGTCTCAAATCGCCTCTGACAACTAAATTCAGTTTCAAGCTGAAAAATTATCGGAGGCGGACAACTGGCGCTTCATGACCAGCAGGTTCGGGTAGATAGAGCTCGCCAGCCCAGAAAAACAGGAGAAGAAAAATCCTGATTTTAAACCCCCGTCTCATATCCAAACACGAAAAAACTATGGAAGTAAATCCAGACCCTGGAACTTCGAAAGCAGTTGCCCATCAACACTGACAACTTTCCGGAAATTTCTGCAGCCAAGCCGTTCCCTAAGATCTAAGCATCTATTCCTTTGGATGTTGTCGGCCCAGTTGAGACTGGGACATGTAATCTGGGTAGCGCACGGCATCTATATACCATCGCCTAGGGCAGCTTCCTAGAGAGGACACTCCAGTCACACCACTAAAAACTGAATTTTGACCTAACAAGTTGCTACCTTTATTTCGCGAGATTAACGGATAAGTACTTCCTGTTTTGCCATCCATTATATAAGCTTCTTAGGTAGATTATTCGCTGTTTCCTCTGTCACTTTTGCCTTCAATGTGTCATGTGAGTGTCAAATTCTCCAAGCCCCTTTTCCGTTTTATGTGTCTCGGAAAATCTCAACTTCTTTCAGGAATTTTAAAACTTCTTCATTGCTCACGTGATTCGTACCCTTAATAAATATTAACTTCATTTGGCGTTAGAATTGGAAATCCACTGAAGATTGAACTCGCTTTCAATATTTTGCGATACTAATTTGCTAGTCAGTGCTCAAGTTGACGACTGATTTTGTAAATTTAACTTTACTTCCTAAACATTGTGCACAGGTGGCGCAGCAAACTTGTGCCTGAACCAAAAGAAGACTATTTATTTTTCGGATTTTTTTTTAAGCAGACTACATTTTTAAACGTCTGATACAGACAAAAATAAAATAAAAAGTTGCTGAATAGGACCTGCCAATCAAACCAGATTGGCAAACTGGGAGAGCAAGTAACATTGGCAGAGTAAGGCCCTTGGGTTTTGACATCCAGTCTTGTTTTTAGTTCTTTAAAAGAAATGAAAGAAAAGAAACAAAAACATCAACATTTGTCTTTCTCTTCAAAGATTCACAGTAACAATTTAAGGATTCAGCCCTTAATCGATTAAACACGTTTAGGTTGTTGCTGAGAAAAAGAAAAAGGAACAAAAGTAAACACAAGAAACATCTTCAAGTGACAGTTTACAAAATAAAACAAACTCAAATTAAAATTACAGACACCAATGTGGCCTGACTCATCACAAGACGAATTCCGATACTCTTACCTTATATTTAAGTTTTAATTTATTCGAAAAAAAAAATCCAATGCAATTAAATTCCTTTTGAAATGTCAACCGTTTTTATTATTGAGTTTGACTACTATTTACTTTCCAACTTAATTTTTACATACATTTTATGTTATCACAACTAAATCCAGACTGTCGATCTACGGCAATGACTAGACAACGCGAATGGAAAATAAGGAATTGACTCTCAGTTAAATAGAGGCAAAATGGTTGTTAGTTCGAATTTTAGCGAGAGCATATCAGCTATTCCTGATCCTAGGAAGTCTACTGATTGCTCTACAGCAGTGGTCTCCAAATCTTTTTCTCTGGGACGCATTTTAGGAAGGCCTCACCAAATTTTACGTGATAAAAAGTACATTTAAGAATTTTAAAAAAAGAGAAAGGGTTAAAGGGAGATAACTGCGGATTCGAAGTCAGAAAATTATTATTGATAACTCTCTCCTCCAATTTGTTGACTCTAGTTACTATATTCTTAATAGTTGATATGCAAAAATATCGCAATGATAAAATTGGTCAATGATTATTCATAACTATTTATACTGGGACTCACTATCAACTGTGCCGCGAAATATTACCACGGCATACACATATATATTATTGTTATTTATTAATATAGTATTCGACTTATGATAAATCCCTAATTTATTTGTGGAGAAGTTGGATATTTAAATTGCTAACAAGCATTAAATTTAACTTCTTTGTGGAGTTTTTAAATTACTATCAAACGTTAAAATCTATCTATCTAGTGATTTTCCAAGCGTAGCTTAGATGTGGCACAAGGCCGAAAGTATGGGGCACCCAGTGAGGATCGAACTCATTACTCAGTCGTAACTGTTCTAGCGAGACAAGCTTGCTAACCATTACACTCCCTCAAGATGCCCAAAATGATTTTCCAAGCGTAGCTTAGATGTGGCACAAGGCCGAAAGTATGGGGCACCCAGTGAGTATCGAACTCACTACTCAGTCGTAATTGTTTTAGCCAGACAAGCTTGCTAACCATTACACCACCCCGAGGTTCCCACCTACCTACCTATCTATCTATCTATCTATCTATCTATCTATCTATCTATCTATCTATCTATCTATCTATCTGCCAAGCAAAGCTTGGGTGCCCAGTGTGGCCAGCTATGTGGCTACGATTATGAAATAATTCCAACCATTCCAGAAGTTAATATTGTCTCAGCTGCAATTTAGGCTCGAATTTTTGCGTTGTTAAACATTAAATCACGCTTAACTCCATTCGATGGAGTTAATTGAATATCAGCAGTTTCGAAAAGGACCTCCAATCGGTTGTGAACTGGGGCAGGAATTGGCTGGTCAACTTTAACGCTTCAAAAACAAAACTGCTCTCTATTAATCACCACAGAGATCCTTCCTTGCCCTCCATTAGAAAGTCTGACGCTCAACTTCTTGAGAGCACCTCTCTGCGGCTGCTCGGTCTCAAGTTGACGGCTGACCTGAGATGGAACAAATACATTGAGTCAATTGCTTCGTCCACCGCAAGAAAAGTTGGCTCCCTGTGCCGCGCCAGGAAATTTTTCTCCTCGGAATCGATCCTCCAGATCTACAAATCAACAATTCGCCCTTGCATGGAGTATTGCTGCCATATATGGTCTGGAGCCCCTTCTGTTTGCCTCGGGGTTCTTGATAAGATTCAGAGGCGGATATGCAATATAATTGGCCCTGTTCTGGCATCTCGTCTACAGTCACTTTCTCACAGACGCGCCGTCGCCTCTCTCTGTCTGTTTTACAAATACTTTCATGGCAATTGCTCCGAGGAGCTGCATTCGCTGGTTCCCAGACTTCATGAGTTCAAGCGCCCTACGAGGCTGGCATCCCGCTCTCACCCTTTCACTGTAGAAACTTCTAAATGTAGCCGTCTCTTCTACTCCAATAGCTTCATGTCTTGCACCTCTCGCCTGTGGAACTCTCTTCCCTATTCCCTGAGAGCTATAATCAGCTATTCAAATGTAATGTCGATCGACATCTCCAGTTGTCTTGATCTGTCCCCTATCCTTCTCCTCATCCTTTCTTCTAACACTCCTATGTGATCTTGCTCCAAATCTTCTGTAACCCCTTGCGTCCTAGTGGCTTCCCGCCTTGCTTGGGGTGAAACGCTAAAAAAAAAAAAAAAGAAAAAGAAAAAGAAGTTTACTACACCTTTCAGGTCAATCTGTTTTACGACCGACTTTCGATTCCAAATCAGCCTGATTTTTCATCTTCAGCGCTGGTGTGATTAGACAATCCCACCTTCTCAGGCCTATTTGTGTTTCTTCAACTTGCAATCTTCTGAGCGTACATTACTTACAGTTTTAAGTACTGGAATCCCTCGATTAATCCACCTTCGATTAATCCACCTTTGATTAGTGCGCTAAAATCTTTATGCACCAAAATTCAATTAGTACATACATAATACTGGATTAGTGCAGTAAAAACATTCTTCAATTTAACGATAGTCATTGAAAACTGATTTTTACGGTTGCCAATGTACAGATTAGTGGCACTAATGAACGGATCCTTGTACATGTCCCGTCAGCGATCGATATGGTTTTGAATTTTTTGAGTTTTTCTTCATTTAAATTGGTTGCCAACGACCGTAGAGAGTTCAGTCGACGGGGATATTTAGACAAAAGTTGGCCCATTGGGAAGAAGAGATTTTTGGCAAAAAATATCTGTGTGAAAGTGAATGCAACGGAATCGACCGGAATTCGAAATCGGTTGGCTGATTTTTCGTTACGAGTCGGTAACCCTAACATCACCTTCACATTCTCTCCAAGGCAGATTAGAAAATGACATTCCCCTTCGCCCCCCCGCCAAATAATAATAAAAATAAAAACTCCCACTTACGAATATGAAGTCCCCAATTTCGAAATATTACCGAAATGTCATGCGTAATTGATTAAGTTCTTCCCAATTCAATTCTATTTTTATGGCGACCGCGAAAGATTCCGAAGCCTCTCTTTTCTTTTCTTTCCTTTTCTTATCAACTTCTTTTCTCTCTCTATCTCTCCCGCTATTTCTCTTACTCTCTCTTTATATCTATCTATCTATCTATCTATCTATCTATCTATCTATCTATCTATCTATTTCTCCTTCTTTCTCTCTCTATCTATCTCTTTCTCTCTCTCTATCTCTATGTCTTTCTTTCTCTCTCTATCTCTTTATCTATTTCTCTCTCTATTTATTTCTATCTATCTATCTATCTATCTATCTATCTATCTATCTATCTATCTATCTCTATCTTTCTTTCTTTTTTCTTTCTTTCTGTACCTCTCTCTCTATCTATCTATGTATTCTCTTTCTCTCTCTATCTATCTATCTATCTATCTATCTATCTATCTATCTATCTATCTATGTATTTCTCTTTCTCTCTCTATCTCTCTCTCTATCTATCTATCTATCTATTTCACTTTCTCTCTCTCTCTGTCTTTCTTCTCTCTATCTATCTATCTATCTATCTATCTATCTATCTATCTCCTTTCTTTCTTTCTTTCTTTCTTTCCCTCTCTCTATTTATCTATCTATTCTCTTACTCTCTTACTCTCTCTCTCTCTATCTATCTATCTATTTCTCTTTCTCTTTCTCTCTCTCTATCTTTCCTTATCTATCTATCTATCTATCTATCTATCTATCTATCTACTTTTCATCCTTCCTGCTTTCAAACACATTATTTTAAATCTTCATCATACTTTCATCCATTCTTTCTTTCCATTCCTTCATTCTTTTCAGCCTTCCCATCATTCCTCCTCCTTTCCATTCTTTAATCCTTCTTTCTTCTTTTTATCTTCCCATCTTATTTTCTTCATTGCTTTCAGTCTTTTCATTTTCATCATTCTTTTCTATTCTGCTTCCTTTTCGTTCGTTCCTTTGTTCCTTCTTTCCCGCCTTCCTTCCTTCCTTCCTTCCTTCCTTCCTTTCTTCCCGTCTTCCTTCCTTCCTTCCTTCCCGTCTTCCTTCCTTCCTTCTTCCTTCCTTCCGTCTTCCTTCCTTCCTTCCTTCCTTCCCGTCTTCCTTCCTTCCTTCCTTCCCGTCTTCCTTCCTTCCTTCCTTCCTTCCTTCCTTCCTTCCTTCCTTCCTTCCTTCCTTCCCGTCTTCCTTCCCGTCTTCCTTCCTTCCTTCCTTCTTCCTTCCCATCTTCCTTCCTTCCTTCCTTCCTTCTTCCTTCCTTCCTTCCCGTCTTCCTTCCTTCCTTCCTTCCTTCTTCCTTCCTTCCTTCCTTCCGTCTTCCTTCCTTCCTTCCTTCTTCCTTCCATCTTCCTTCCTTCCTTCCTTCTTCCTTCCTTCCTTCCCGTCTTCCTTCCTTCCTTCCTTCCTCTTTTTCGCCTTCCTTCTTCTTTCTCGCCTTCCTTCTTTCCCGCCTTCCTTCTTCTTTCCCGCCTTCCTTCTTCTTTTCCGCCTTCCTTCCTTCCTTCCTTCCTTCCTTCCTTCCTTCCTTCCTTCCTTCTTCTTTCTCGCCTTCCTTCTTCTTTCTCGCCTTCCTTCTTCTTTCTCGCCTTCCTTTTTACCCGCCTTCATTTCTTTTTTTTCTCGCCTTCCTTCCTTCCTTCTTTTTCGCCTTCCTTCTTCTTTCGCGTCTTCCTTCCTTCCTTCCTTCCTTCCTTCCTTCCTTCCTTCCCGTCTTCCTTCCTTCCTTCCTTCCTTCCTTCCTTCCTTCCTTCCTTCTTCTTTCTCGCCTTCCTTCTTCTTTCTCGCCTTCCTTCTTACCCGCCTTCATTCCTTCTTTCTCGCCTTCCTTCCTTCCTTCTTTTCGCCTTCCTTCTTTCTTTCCTTCCTTCCTTCCTTCTTTCCTTCCTTCCCGTCTTCCTTCCTTCCTTCCTTCCTTCCTTCCTTCCTTCTTCTTTCTCGCCTTCCTTCTTCTTTCTCGCCTTCCTTCTTCTTTCTCGCCTTCCTTTTTACCCGCCTTCATTCCTTTTTTCTCGCCTTCCTTCCTTCTTCTTTTTCGCCTTCCTTCTTCTTTCGCGCCTTCCTTCCTTCCTTCCTTCCTTCCTTCCTTCCTTCCCGTCTTCCTTCCTTCCTTCCTTCCTTCCTTCCTTCCTTCCCGTCTTCCTTCCTTCCTTCCTTCCTTCCTTCCTTCCTTCCTTCCTTCCTCTTTCTCGCCTTCCTTCTTCTTTCTCGCCTTCCTTCTTTTTCGCCTTCATTCCTTCTTTCTCGCCTTCCTTCCTTCCTTCTTTTTCGCCTTCCTTCTTCTTTCGCGCCTTCCTTCCTTCCTTCCTTCCTTCCTTCCTTCCTTCCTTCCTTCCTTTTTTTCCGCCTTACTTCGTTTACTTCTTTCTTTTCTTTTCTTCTCTCCACATTTTTTTTCTTTACCTTCAATCTTTTATAAATTTCTGTTTGTTCCTCCCTTAATAATTTCCCTTCTTATCCTTTTTTTTTTTCTTTGGTTGCATTAAATTTTATCTCAAATACGATTTAGCGCTTCTTTGGTAGAAGGTTATTTTGCCGCCTTTTTTTTTGACTTTCTTTCTATCTTTCTTTCTTCACATCATCCATCTTCCATTTTTGTTTCTTTTTTCTTTCGCTTTAAATATTCACGGGAAGGTTTTCTCCTTTTTTGTTTTACTTAACCCCCCCCCCAAAAGACTTGATTGTCACGCTTACATTTCAGATGAAGGCGCCAGATCGAATGTCATAAAAGTTCTCTGCTTGCATTCATCTTTCTCCATTCGCCCATCTTATCCCTCCCTCTTCCTTTCTTATTCTCTTCCTCTCTTACCATTCCCCTCATTTTCTACTCCGAACAATTAGTACTTTGATGATTATTCCATTTAAGATTAGGGACACACCCGTTCACGCAAACACAGACACATTTATATACATAGATACATACACATACACACACACACACACACACACACATATATATATATATATATATATATATATATATATATATATATATATATAAAGACATTTTTATGTTTAACATTCTTTTTATAGATACAAGTATTTAAGTAAATGCTATAATAAACAGTATTAAATAACATTTACCGGCCTGAATGTCCGAGAAATTTTTATAGAAAATATTCGTCCTTTCTATGAAAATTTCTCTAAATTAAATACTTGTATCTATAAAAAGAATGTTAAACATAAAAATATCTTTAATAAATTGTCGGACTTTGTCTAATTCTTAATATATATATATTGCCGTTAATAAAAAAAAAAACCCAGACGACATGCATTTAACGGATGTCAGAATTCATTGAAAAATAAACCCCTACCATCCCAAAACTTAACCTCTTTTTCGAACGTAACTCATAATCGATACAACAATAGTTAATAAAAAAGAACACGCTACCGCCCCTGCCTGAATGACTGGATTTCTCTGTAGCCTTGGAAACAGGAAATTGTGAATTTATGAGTGCGTTTAAAACTCAGTAAATTTAAAAATAAGTTATTCCAATATTCGCTTGAAGATGAAACAGAACAAATGCTTTTAATTTAATTATATAATTAAATTTAAAGTTTTTAGCTTCCATTTTTGAAACATGGTTATTACTGTGTAGTGGAAAAACCATATTTTAAATTAGTTATTCTACAATATTTATGCTCTGTAAATTTACATTGAGCACTGTTTTGTAAAGATAAAAATAAAAAATAACAAGAACACCGGATTATATATCTTATTGTTCTTCATATATATATATATATATATATATATATATATAAAAAGGCAGGATGTGTGTGTGTGTGCGTGTGTGTGCGTGTGTGTATAACGAATTCACGGCCACAATTTTCGACGGATTTGAACCAAAATTTACATGCACATGCTCCAAGTTAGCAGGAAGGCCAAGACCGACTTTGCATTTCCCAACTCCCATCGATAGTGGAAATAATCGATTTTTTCATGCTTCTACGGCAGTTTTCATGTAGTTTGCGGCCATTTTCTACTGGCCAGAGTGAGAGCTTATAGCTGGCTGCCACGAATAGACAGGAAGATTCTATTGGCCAGCATGAGAGCCAACAGCTGACTGGCACGAATGTTAACTAGCATGCTAGCATGCAAAAAAATCGATAGCTACCATCGTCACAAGTGGGAAAAATTTAAATCTGCATGACACTTTACTCCAATTGGCTCATTCGCTTGCTTAAACTCAACGTTGATTCTGATTCTGCAAAACTGGTTTGGGTGTGAAAAAGTATTTGTTGTTAATATTCTTTTGCCATTCGGTTTTTCCAGTTACGAGTCCTTTTTTAAAGCTGATCGTTTTGTGTTTATTTTGTTTAGTTCTTTTTTCGTAACAGATTTAATGTTTAGTATAGAGCTTAGAAAAAATTCACAGTGTGAGATGGGCAAGAAGTAAGGCATGTAGCAACATCAGTACGGCAAAGGGCACTCCTTTAAAGGCAAGGAAGGGCAAAAATATTTAAGTCAAGTGATAGCGATTGCTGTATGAGTCGTACGATTTTTTGAATCAAGCACGAGCAACACCGGGCCATGCTGCTAGTATATATATATATATATATATATATATATATATATATATATATATATATATATATATATATGGTTTGTTAGTTTCGTTTCTTTTTCCCTTTCAACGTCATTATTTATTGGCATGTTTGATTTTTTCTTCTTTTTTTTTTACCCATGTTGCATTGCAACTAAATATTCATTACCCGTGATGTGAACCTGTTCCTTACCCAAAACCATTTATCGCCTCTTCCTTTCCACTTCTTTAGTTATTACTGACTCTTGACAGTTCTTGTTAGCAGAAATGCTATTTGTTATTCGCCATGTTGTTCCTCAAAATGTTCTTGGAGTTGAAGGATGATTATTACTCATTAGGAAGAGGATTTTTTTTCCTACACATTCTTCTTTTTCTTATTTTTTTCTCCTTCATCTTTTCTTTCATTCCTACCTAACTTTCCTCAAGTTTCGGTTTTTCTTCTGAATTCTTGTTAGACGGAATCGTTTACCTGTCGTCATGATGCTACTTTCTACCAGAAATTAGACAAATTCCCACATGTCCTGGAATCATGGGTCTTGTACTTCTGTCTACGGGTTTCTTCTTTTAATTTACCATTCAATTTTTTTTACTTTCTTTTTTTCATATTTATTTTATTTTATCCTTCCTTTCTTTCTTCTTCCTCTATCTACATCAATCCAGTTTTTTCTTTTATTCCTTTCTTTCTTTCTTTCATTTTTGTCTTTTTCATTCATTTATTCATTTTTTCCATTCATATTCCATATTTCCTTCCTTCATTTTAACCATTCATAATCCTTACTTTCTTTCTTTGTTCCTTTCTTTCTTTCTTTCTTTCTTTCTTTCTTTCTATTCATATTCAATTAATTGCTTTTTCTTTCTTCCTTTCTTTCTTTCTTTCTTTCTATTCATATTCAATTAATTGCTTTTTCTTTCTTTCTTTCTTTCTTTCTTCGTTTCTTTCTTTCTTTCTTTCTTTCTATTCATATTCAATTAATTGCTTTTTCTTTCTTCCTTTCTTTCCTTCTTTCTTTCTTTCTTTCTTTCTTTCTTTCTATTCATATTCAATTAATTGCCGTTAGCTATTTACATTCCTTTCTTTTTTTTTCTTTCTTCCTTTCTTTCTTTCTTTTTTTCTTTCTTTCTTTCTATTCATATTCAATTAATTGCCGTTAGCTATTTACATTCCTTTCTTTTTTTTTCTTTCTTTCTTTCTTTCTTTCTTTATTTCTTTCTTTCTTTCTATTCATATTCAATTAATTATTCGTTCCTTCCTTTTACATTCCTTTTCTTTTCTTTCTTTCTTTCTTTCTTTCTTTATTTCTTTCTGTCTTTCTCTACAAACGAGACAAGACATGACGTACCGTTATTTCTTTGCCTCCACGAAGGATTTTTAGTTCGCGACAAACGTCTTGTGTAGATGTCATCTAATCTTTTTCTCAAATTTGTCTGACATTGTCCATATTTTACAAGCACACAGAAGAACTGACCCTAAATATTTAAAGATCAACTCTCAGGTCAGAAGAGTATCATCCTTTCTTTAATTTATTTCGAGTCAAATCCCCATCTTGCGAACATTTCTCTTCATAATGATTTTAAAATAATTCAGCAGGCGTTGTTATTTTATTTATTGTAACTGTGTTTTTTTTTTTTCGTTTTCTTTTTGCCTTACTCTGTTTCCATCGTTCGATGCTGTGCACCAAAAATGCTGCTTTTATCGCGGTCGTTTCGGCCTTTTAGCTGAGATTCGATCATGGCTACGACTAGCTTGGACCGGCTCTGGTCTGGACCAGCTATGACAAGTTTAGACCAGCTCTGACCAGCTTGGACAAGCTACGACCAGCTATGACAAGCTTAGACCAGCTCTGACCAGCTTGGACAAGCCAAGACCAGCTATGCCTAGCTTACACCATCTCTGACTAGCTTGGACAGCTAAGACCAGCTTAGATTTTGCTGTTACACAATTTGGACAATTTTGATGTTACACAATTTGAACAATTTTGATGTTACACAATTTGGACAATTTTGCTGTTAAAACTTTCGGACAGTTTTGCTGTTACACAATTTGGACAATTTTGCTGTTACACAATTTGAACAATTTTGCTGCTACAAAATTTGGACAATTTTGCTGTTACACAATTCGGACAATTTTGCTGTTACACAATTCGGACAGTTTTGCTGTTACATCCGGTACTTGGTTCTCATATTTTAATAATTTAGTAAGATCATAACATTTTAACAAACACTGCCAAGGAGTGAAGGTAGTTAAAATAATAGCGGTGTCAAGGGAAAAACCGTCCCTTTGAGACTCGGTTTCTTTTTTTTGCGTATATGAAGGTCCGAATTTGCTGTAAATGCATTGCTAAGGATTTTGTAGGAATAGATTGAAAATCAAAAATAAATGGATTGTCAGGAATGATTTAATTCTGGTAAAATAGGTCAATTATACGTATAACATAATTTAGACTATTTTACACACAAGTTTTCGACAAATTTCAAAAGCCTGATTTTAAATGTTAAGTGTTTTAATGGATTTTTTTTTTGTAAAAACGCGCTTTCTTTGAAACCCCAACATCCAACTTCCCCATCTCGCATTCGTCTGTATCTTGTAGCTGGGTTTGTTAAATATGGAGGGTATCACTTCCCTGTCTACTTTGGTACCAGTCACGCATCTTTCACGTGTTACCAAGTCTTGCTCTTCTCCCACGACGCATCCAGTCGCCATGTTTTTCTTCACAAGATGGTCGACGAAGAAAAATCCCTTTGTATTATTTTAGCTTCTGTTTAAATCTCATAGGTTTGATATATTTTCGGGGCGATGGTAGGTGTAAGTTCAAGAGATCCACTGGAGATGTAGTCAGGGGTCTGCCGTGGGGTGGCGAGTGTCTCGGGGGTTGCTGGATGGTGTTAGGACGTGAAGATTTGGTTTTGGTGATATTAAAGAGCAGATTTTGGTAGGAAGGGAGGGAACATAAAAAGTAATAAAAATGGCTGGGGATGGGGGGAGAAAGCGGTTAAGTTTCAGATTACGACAAAGGCATTCTTCTCTCTAGAACGTGGGAAAATTTATGAAGAAAATAGGTTGTGTTTTTATGGTGGGTTTCCAAAACATCACTCACCCGGCATTTGAACACATGCGAACGCGTATATCTACCATATATATATATATATATATATATATATATATATATATATTGAGAAATAAAAAAATATTAACAAATTAAAATCTTCAGACACACTGTGTTGTATATTAATATTCTTTCGTTTTTATTATTATTTCATTTAGATTCCTCAACTAGTTTCGGCCAATATCTAAGTATATTCTTTATCTATCTATCTATCTATCTATCTATCTGTTCGTATGTATCTATCTATCTATCTATCTATCTATCTATCTATCTATCTATCTATCTATCTATCTATCAGTTTGTACGCGTCTATCTATCTGTGTGCTTATCTATCTCAAGCTTTTCATCTATCTATCTATCTATCTATCTGTTCGTGTATATCTCAATCTGTTCATATCTATCAGTCTATCTATCTGTTCGTATCTATCTATCTATCTATCTATCTATCTATCTAGCTAGCTAGCTAGCTAGCTAGCTAGCTAGCGATCTAACTTAGTCTGTACATGTATCCAGACTTATAAAACGGCACAGATATCATTTATCGTTTCAAATTCCTTTCGACACTTATTCTACCCGACCCTGATTCAGACACGAATTATGATGAAGCAAATTAACTGACATATAATTATTTACAACTCAGTACATTCAAACCTCCTTAGGATAAACGTCATTGCTTTGAAGCTAAAAAAAAAGTATTCAGTTAACACAGCGAGACTTCCGAAGTATTTATTCAACTATGGAGCCTACCAACCACAGTGGATGAAAGAAAGATTTTTATACAAACATCGATTCTTGCATCTACTTGAGATGTGTATAGACAATCGGTCTGTGTGTTTTGAGAATGAGTACGAGAGCTTTTACGGACGAAGTCACATTTAAATATCGGTGAAAGGCCAGAAAATATAACTTTTATTACAGAACCTGCCAATAATTCCTTTAATTTTTATTGGACAAAGCAAACGGCGTAGAAATTTAAAAAACGAGATCTCGCGAGGCAACGAGATCTGGTGAGGCAACATAAACTATCAAGACAGAAAGACATTGTCATAAATTGGCTGAACTTTCTACCGTAACTAAAATATCTTCCTGTCAGTTGCTTTACACAAAGAGAATATTTGGAAAGAAAGAGAAAAATCTTTCTTTCTTAGCGCATTATACCTTCCTTCCTTCCTTCCTCCATTTTTATTCATTTCTTTTTTCTTTCTTTCTTTCTTTCTTTCTTTCTTTCTTTCTTTCAAGCTTCTTTTAGTTTACTTTGATTTCACACTTCGTTTCTTTTTCTTTTTTTTCTGCCTTTCTTTCTCTATTTTTCTTTCTATGTGTTCATTTCATTCTTTCTTTGTTAGTTTTCTTATTTCTTTATCTCTTTCTTTTCATTCTTTTCTTTTCTTTTCTTTCTTTCTTTTTGTTCGTTTCTTTCTTTCTTTTTTCTTTCTTTCTTTCTTTCTTTCTTTCTTTCTTTCTTTTTCTTTTTTTTTCTTTCTTTTCTTTCTTTCTTTCTTTACGTTCCTAAATTCATATGATTTCTTTCTTTCTTTGCTTTCAAAAATTCATATTCTTTCTTTCTTTCTTTCTTTCTTTCTTTCTTTCTTTCTTTCTTTCTTTCTTTTGATTTTCCCCAAATTCAAATTCTTCCTCCGTTTCTTTCTTTCTTTCTTTCTTTCTTTCTTTCTTTCTTTCTTTCTTTCTTTCTTTACGTTCCTAAATTCACATGATTTCTTTCTTTCTTTGCTTTTAAAAATTCATATTCTTTCTTTCTTTCTTTCTTTCTTTCTTTCTTTCTTTCTTTTGATTTTCCCCAAATTCAAATTCTTCCTCCGTTTCTTTCTTTCTTTCTTTCTTTCTTTCTTTCTTAACGTGTTATACTTTCCTTTCTGTTCGTTTCTTTTTTTCTTCTTTCTTTCACCTTCTTCATTTTCTTCATGTGGTCTTTCTTTCTTTCTTTCTTTCTTTCTTTCTTTCTTTCTTTCTTTCTTTCTTTTTCAAGCTTCTTTTAGTTGACTTTGATTTCACACTGAATCTAAAACCGTTAACAGTAACGCATTCCGTTTCTTCCCGTGTCATTTGGTGCCCCGGGGTACGTAATGGGGGGGGTGAGGATTATTACACCGGGTGAATTAAAAGCCACGCTACACCTCGCCTGTGTGTTTGGCATAAAACCAGACGCTCTGTCCTTCCTTTCACTTCTCTTCCCATGATTCATTGGCTTCCGTGGTATCTTTAACCCCCTATCCACAGAACACGCTAGACTAGTATAGTCTTCCTACAGACGAACATTCACTGGAATACACACCGACCAGCAACGACATGCAAGACCAATTTCCTTACCGGGGCTACAAAAGATACTTCTTCTTTTATATGCCATGACCCTTTAGGATGTAAGTAATCATGGCCCTTCACAACCTCCTGTCCATTGTAGTTTTGTTATTTCTCCCAAAACCTGTTTTGCCCTCCTTTTACTCAAGCTCATCAATTATATCACGAGTTGTTTCCCCTGTCCATTTTCACCTCTATCCATCCTGTGAGTATCATATTTTCCAAGCCTTCCTTCCTCGTTACGTTCCCTAGATATTTCGACTGTCTCTTCCTGATGTTAAAAGTATAAGTTTCCTTTTTGTTTCCATTCTCTCCAAAACCTCGTCATTGCTCATATGTTCGGTCCATGGTATCCTCAGCATCCTTCTGTAGAACCACATTTCTTTTGCTTCGAGTCTCTTCTCCATCTCTTCCAAGAGTTGCTACTTTATGGAACAAACTTATAATAAGATGCTTCTTCGATCACAATACATCTTAACCGGTTTAAGTCTTCGGTGAACACTTATATTTCCGACATATCCTCATACGGTACAATTCTTACGCCCATAAAAATAACCCCATTTATTAACAGTCTACCTTGAGTGGCTCTTGGTCCTTGTATAGAAAATAGTGTAAAAGAAAAACAAAATGCTTTATGAAGCTGTCGATTCTAATATATTTTTAAACACAAAGTAAACACGACCAAATTCCATGCCAAACAGACGCAGAGATACATCCTATATAAGTACGTAAATATATAAAGGGTGTTTCCTTAAGAAGGATTATATATAAGGGTGTTTCATTAAAACGGATCAAAGCCAACAGTAAATAAATCAGTGTTATTGGTGAAAATTTATTTATTTCTCTATTGGATCATGTTATTTAAGCCATGACAATTATGTGTAGAAAATAATATCGCCCAAATGTCTGCCAAGGCTTTTGCGGCACACTTCCACTCGATGGTCAAAATTTTTGATGACGTCTTTGCATAGTTGCTCTTCGATTTCACCAATATGCCTTATTATCTCATCCTTCAGCTGTTGAATTGTTGTTGGCTTGTTGGCATAGAAATTAATTTTGAGATGACCACAAGTGAAGAAATCTAAAGGAGTCAAGTCGCACGATCGTGATGGCCAATTGATTTCGCGGTTTCGTACATAGAAACAGTTGTCCTACACATATTTATATTCGTATACATATCACTATTAAACACATATATTTACTTAAATATGCCATATATACACATACCCACACATCTCTGCAAAATACGTATACGTCTCGGAGATGAAAAGTTGCGCCATAATAATTTCATGGTTTAATAATTTCTTTAATTTAATTTAATTTAATTTTATAGGACTTCACGATAAACAATATTTTTAAAGAAAATTCTTTTTTTTTTCCTTTTTAACACCGAAGAATAGATTCTTCGGATTTCTTACTCTTGGGCATGCAGCATACAACCGGTCACGCATAAATATTTCCTTCTCGAGCCAAATAGCAACTTTTTGAAGCGTTTGGCCTTGTGATTTGTTTATAGTTTTCACAATCGCAGGGTCGATTGGAAACTGGATTCTTGTATTTATAAAAACTTAAAGATGTGAGAAAACGATATGGTGTTTTTATTAAATAAGTATTTGTTATTTTAATCGTTAAATTGTTTTTAAAATAGTAGGAGTATTTTGCATGCTAAATAATAAAACATTTAATTCCCCCCAAAAAAAATAAATTAAAATTTATTGTACTAATCTCCGCACTCTAGTAAAACCAACTGAACTTTGTACCGACCGCTTACCTGTTTGCACTTTTCCCAAAAATTTGGTTTCGATCGGTCAATGTATGTCTGTTTTAGAGGGTGTGATGGACAGACTTCCGGAGGTCATAGAATTTTATATATAGATTATTATTAGTAGTAGTTTTAGTATTTGTCACACAGTATACGCTCTTAAATACACTGGATGCATTGTTATCTGTCAAGTAACAACAAATGACGAGGTGGTAGACAGCTACCCGGCCCCGAGTATACGGAGTCCACGTGGAATTTTGGCCCGAGCCTAAAAGCTCGGTTTTGCCCGGCATTAAAAAGGCCTTGTGCCACACCCTGACTCGCGGGGAGGTGAGGTAAATAACCTTGCTTCGGGAATTAGTTAGATATTCGTGCTGGTCAAACTCTCTGTCTTCAAGGAGAGAAGAACCCAGACGAGGCTCTACCGAAGGGCAGAGTTTCGTCTGAGGTGGTAGACAGCTACCCGGCCCCGAGTATACGGAGACTACGGGGAATTTTTGCCCTAGCCTAAAAGCTCGGTTTTGCCTGCCATTAAATCGGATTTCTGCCTCGCGGGGAGGTAAGGTAAATAAACTTCCCTCAAAATATGCGCAGTGCCCAAAATTGATGGCCATGTTGGTATGGTACACCCAGCTGATCACAGAAGTCAACACTGGAAACATATTGACATTTTGTTCTTGCTTTCTAAACAATCATGCCATCTCCAATTTCAAATCAGTCATTATTATTATTATTATTATTATTATTATTATTATTATTTTCTTTGATTTTTGGTGTGTACACATTACTTTCCGGGTCCCGCCCAGGGACCTAAGGTTAGAAATGGCATCATGACACTTTCCACTGATAAAAAAAAAATGTATTAGGCAAAGCCCTTCGTAAAGTGTGGGTTGTACTTGTGAGAACATTTTTTTGTATTTCTTTGAGGCATGGGCTTCCAGGAATCCCTTCAATTAGTCTACTGGAGTCTTTTCCAACCAATCCGAGGGCCCCAACTACAACAGGGATTGTTGATGTTCCCATGTGCCACATTTTTGAGATTTCGATTTCATGGTCCTTGTATTTTGATAGCTTCTGGAAGATCTTCAAAGATACATTGCAGTCTGCAGATACTGCCATATCAATAAGGAGGCACTTTTTTTGTTTGTGGTCTTTAATAACAATATCTGGGCGGTTAGATTTGATTGTTCTTTTATTATGATTATTATTATTATTATTTCCTTGGATTACTGTTGTATATACATTTTCTTCTGTGTCCCAACGTGAGACCTAAGGTCACACATGACTCCATGACATTTCCCTCTGCTCAAAAAAAAAAAAAAAAAATAGTCACACATTTTACATAGATAAAGCACTTTGTAATGTGTGAGCTATATTTGTAAGTAAAATCTTTTGCAATTCTTTAAGGTATGGGCTACCAGGAATCCCTTGAATGAGTCTATAGGAACCTTTTCCAATCAATCCGAGTGCTCCAAATACAACTGGAATTATTGATATCCTCAAGTGCCACAATTTTTAGATTTCTGTTTCAAGATCCTTGTATTTTGATAGTTTTTTTACAGATCTTCAAAAATACATTATTATTTCATTTCCTTTGATTTCTGGTGTGTACTCATTTCTTTCCGGGTCCCAACCAGAGACCTAAGATCAAAAATGGCATCATGGCATTTTCCACTGAGCAATTAAAGAAAAAAAAACATATTTTACATAGATAAATCCCTACATAAGGTATGGGCTGTACTCGTAAGAACAATTTTTTTTGTATTTCTTTAAGGCAAAGGCTACCAGAAATTCCTTCAATAAGTCTATCAGGACCTTTTCCATTCAATCCGAGTGCTCTAACTACAATTGGGATTACTGATGTACTCATGTGCCACATTTTTGACATTTCCACTTCAAGATCCTTGTACAGTGGAACCTCGGTTCACGGATTTAATTCGTTTCTGAAGGCCGTTCGTAACCAGAAATGTTCGTAAACCGAAAGTATTTTTTTCAATAGGAATCAATGTAGAGAAAAAAAAAACACAGTGCATTATAATTTGAAAAGATAGCACAGCACAACGCAAGAATGAATACAACATGACGGTAGACTCAGAAATGAATCCGTTCGGGTTAACTCGGCTCGGCTCGGCTCGGCTCGGCAATGTTGTTCGAGAACCGAAATTTTGTTCGATAACCGAGGCATTTTTATCTCTAACTTTCTGTTTGAAAACCGATTTGTTCGATATGTGAGGCGTTCGGGAACCGAGGTTCCTCTATTTGGAGTGTTTTTTGTTTTTTTTGAAGATCTTCAAAGATACATTACAATCTACAGGGACTGTCATGCCAATAAATAAGCACATTATTATTATTATCATTATTACAGTGTAAGACACCCGGATATAAGAGAAACCCGGATATAAGAGATATTTTCTCTCGTCCCAAATTAGAGCCTGTGTTAATGTATATAAAATAGACCAAACCCGGATATAAGAGAAACCCGGATATAAGAGACTTCTTCTCCGGTGCCGACAACTCTCTTATATCCGGGTTACACTGTATATCTTAATATATATATATATATATATATATATATACAGTGTAACCCAGATATAAGTGAAACCCGGATATAAGAGAAGCCCGGATATAAGAGAAACCGGATATAAGAGACTTCTTCTCCGGTCGACAACTCTCTTATATCCGGGGGTTATATCTTAATATATATATATATATATATATATATATATATATATATACAGTGTAACCCAGATATAAGAGAAAGCCGGATATAAGAGAAGCCCGAATATAAGAGAAACCCGGATATAAGAGACATCGCCGGTGCCGACAACTCTCTTATATCCGGGTTACACTGTATATCTTAATATATATATATATATATATATATATATATATATATATATACAGTGATATAAGAGAAACCCGG